TTTTTCCTTCATACATTTTCCACAGAAAAATTTTTTACAAATTATGCAAATTTGAGTGTATTGGGGTTTTATGGGGATAAACCAAATCACCTAACCAAGACCTTACCTCTGTCGACACATTTTTTCTGTATACTCTTTAGCACGTGGCTTCTTAACCTCACTTTCCTTTTAGTTATTTCACGTTTACATACAATGCTCTGGGCCCATAACCTATTGGAGTTTTATGGGGATAAACCAAATAACCTACACACTGAGCACTTTCTTTATTGTATATTTAATATGATGCGTTAGATGTCTTTAGATTACAAACTGTCGCAGAACGTTTCTTTATACAGAGCACCGGTACGCACAGAACAACGTGGACTCACCGAATAGCCGTGCCGACAAAACGATATACGAAAACTTAATGTCTTTTGTTTGTAGAGTGGGTAAATAGCCGATTTAACCCTTTTAGTGCCAGGCGAAAAAGAGGTGCCAAGCTCTCACATGTCTTGCATGGTTTCTTTTCTTCATATTTCTTTCTCCAATCTTGTTTGCCATCCTTTGTTTTTGTGTTGTACTTTCTTTCTACCATGCTTTCATAGTTTCTAATCTCATTGAAGAGCGTGGTTGAATCTTTCACTTCTTCCTTGTTTATTTTATTCATTATGGATTCTGGTAATCCTATGGTTATATGGTGTTCTTTAATCTATGTCTTTATTTACATCTAATATTAATCTTTCTTTTTTTGTAGCATAATTAATCAGTGAACCTTCTTTGTATCTGAATGCTAGAGCATATTTCCATGTACTCCATCCCTTATCTGCGAATGATTTTAAAAATCTATCCTTCCAGTCTCCCCAATTATTGTTTATTGATAGTTTAATGGTTGTTGCACGGTGCCAATCGGAGCATGATTTTTCCAAAAATAGTCTCAATATTTCAATCTTCATGTTGTATTTTGTTATTTTAAATCTTGTACATTCCTTTTCAAATATTTCCATCCACTGTTTAGCATTTGAGTCTTTGCTACTGAGTTTTTCTATTATGAATTTATCTGCAACATGTTTTAAGTTCTTCTCCTCTTCCTTCTCATTTGATGACTCAAGTAACTTCTCTAATATCTTGGGTAAGTTTGACTTTTCTTCCTCACTGCTGTTTTTCTTCTCCTTTATTTCATCTAAGAGATATTCCCTAAATTCTATATCTGTTAGTATGAACCATACACTTGCAGTCTCATGCCTATACTTCAGTTTAGCCTTTACCTTAGTGCACTTTCTGTCATTAGTGAGGTTATGGTTATCACGTTGGATTTCTCGTCTTTTGGAGACACTATTACTTTGAAATCAAATTGCAGTTTCATTTTTGACTACGATTGTCGTTTATAATTATCTCTTGCTATCTGCCGTCGGTGGTAATAATAGAACAACGGGTGTTTCTCTGTGAACAAAGTTTCAACATTTATTTACATCGATTATTTACATTATGTACATTATGTACCCCCTACCTGTGAACAAAGAAACGACAATTGAAGCCCCTTATTATCACCTCTTTATTCACGCCAACTTAATTGTTTTTATCTTCTAATGTTTAAAGTTCTATTTGTCTATCTTGCTATTATGCACGTGTGCCCGATTACCGATTATCCCCATTTTTATCGCCATCTAACGTAACGTAACGTAAGTTAGTTAAACGCGGAGTGGAGCGCGGCAAATTGGATCTTAAAGGGAATATATTTTCTTTAGATATATATCGAGTCAGGGGGTGAATAATGGAAATACAAAGCCTAGTGTAAGGGCAAAGTGCAAAGGACAGGATGAGTCAGTAGGTACAGGAGACTAGATGAGTAGGCGCTTGAATAGTGTGATTAGGATGTTTGTTGCCGGATGATTCTATGTGTTTATGGAGTGATGAGATGTTGCTGTTGTCGATGAGTTGGTCTTACAACACCTCCCTTCTTTTTGTCCAAAATTTCTAATTTTGGAGTAAGATGTCAGCGATTTAGTATCCTTACGATTAAATATTGTAACCTACGTTAATTATACAAAGGTTCTATACTATATATATGTACGTATAAATTTGCCGCAGTCGTGTACAATAATGAATGTTTTAACTCTATACTATAATTTATAAATGTTACATATACAAATACTATAACCTAGAATAAGAGTAGTGTTACAAACATGGGTATACGTTAAAATAATTTGGTAACGAGATCGTATGAATCCTTATTACTAGCAATTATTAATAACTATGCGGAACACGCGATTACAAAGAAGTTGTACTTTTTCGCGTTCGTGATCCAGACTTTGATCGGAGATTGTAAGTATGACTCTTTGCCTGGTGATGGTCCACAGGTTCCTCTTCGGCAATGCTAATGGGTGTCTCTTGTTGTAGGGAACTTTGTATCCCTCCACGCCTTTCGAACAGAACGATGTTGTTGAAATGGTCTCTATGTTCACTATGATTATTTGAATCAAAATTACATTGAACGAAGTTTTTAATAATTGGTAGCACCATTTCTCTTGTTCTGGGACTCCTGGTAAAACAGCAAAAACGCTTGAGCAGGTTCCAGCAGCCAAGCCAGTAACAGCAGTTTCCAAAAAGAATAAGGATTAGGATGGCAGTAATTACTCCTAATGTTATCGTGTACCAACTTGTATGAGTAACGATAAATGGCTCCTTCAGGAGATGAGTTAGCAATTCATCGAACTCGTTGAGTTTTTTGCTATTATATTTTAGATCAGTCAAATCAATGTTCATGAGTTTTATGGCCTTCAGAGATGTTACAGATTTATGAAGTAAATAATCTGTTGCTTGGGTACAACAGTCGTCTTCAGTTAAATTAATTCGGGGGACATAATGACTAATATTTTTGTTTATGTAGTTTGTGGGTTCCAATAAATAAGAAATAGTATATCCTTTGCTGCCATTGTGCAATTGTATTATGCCTGTCTTCTTTAAAATGATATCCTCCATGTGATTATTGGTGTCCTCACCACAGATGATTGTCAGCGTAATTGATTTTTGTAAAACATACAGCTACTGATTGTTTCCAATGTAACTCCATACTTCCATTTCGGCGTTTATTGTTCTTGTTGAGCAGTCTTGCGGTAATTGTTTAACATGGGGAGATAACAACCGTACCTCGCAGGTGGACTCCTCGGTGGTTCTGGCTGTATTTACGTTGGTGCATACGTACTTTCCTTCCAGATACTCAGCGCAATTCTTCAAATCCGACAGGACGGCGAAATAGGATTTTTGCTGGGATATGAGTAGGTATGGATTTTGAGGTGTGATAAATGAAAAGACAGAAGTATTTTGATGTTGAACGGGTAGTGGAATCAGGTTGAACAGGTCGAAATTACTTTTTTTCACGAGTGGTAATTGTATCACAAATACTACAAGCTCGTCTATTTTGATGCTCTGAAGCTTCTTTAACTTGTAAATCTTAGGTAAATTTTTGTAGGTCGGGGTAATAACTAATTCAAATTCACCTTTGTAATTAGTTAACTCTTTGCAAAGGTTCTTTGGTGTAATTAGAAATGGGGAGATTATGTTATGATTACCTAAATTAATGGATTCTATATTCTTGTCAAAATTATCAGAGACCTGAGTGCATAAAGAGAGTAAGATGGCTACTTGTTCCATAATAGTTGCTTCTAACGATAATTTTATAACGTAATTATTTGTTTCTAACATATAGTTATTAATTGTTTTCATATTGCTGTTCAGAGTGTCTTCTGTATGTTTTAGAGATTGAATTGAATTATTAAAATTTTTTATAGTACCCGAAACTATCTGTATCTGAGATTTTAACAGGGTTTGCGTTTGTCTATTATCATTTAATAAAGCTTTGATACTATCAGAATAATATCTGGCATCGTCCGCGTCCGGGGTGCCGATTAACCAATTTAAAACATAGGAAGCTCCATTAATTAATCCGCGTCGTTTACGCTGTTTTAAGTAATATACTAATATATACTCTTTACCTTTTGGATCAAATTTATTCCTTATTCTTGTACCTTTCTCTAATGCGATGACCTTGCTTCCTATTTTTCTGAGAAAACCAATAAAAGGTTTTTCATAGGTCCATTCTTCATATGGAGTGACGTCTTTGTTGGCTTTGGTTGGAGATCGATTCTTCAAGAATACTGATGTGTTTATGGCTTTGGCCCAAAGTGATGTCGGAAGCATACCTTGTAGGAGCATACAGCGTGCCATTTCCACCAAAGTACGATATGTCCGCTCAGCAATCCCATTTTGCTATGGTGTGTATGCTGTTGATAATTGACGTGTTATGCCACTTCCTTTTAGAAATTCATTGAACTCATGAGATAGGTACTCCTTCGCATTATCAGTCCTGAGCTTCTTTATTCTGCAGCTAGTAGTATTTTCCGCATAAGCTTTATATTCTTTAAATGCTTGGAAGACATCCGATTTGTTTCTCAGTGTTTTTATACATATGTATCGACTCTTGTCATCGATAAATGTGACAAAGTATTTAACTCCCCCAAGTGACTGTACACTAAATGGACCACAAATGTCACTATGCACAAGCTCTAATTTTTTGCTTGCTCTGTGCTGAAAAGTACCGAATGGGAGTTGGTGTATCTTGCACTTGTCACATACTTCACAACTCGGATTTTGTTTTTCAAAATTATCATTTATCCCAATTGCCATCTGCTTACTCTTTAGATTTTGAACATCATTGAAAGTCAAGTGTCCTAGTCTTTCATGCCACTTGACTAACTTATCTTCATGTTTCTGAAGCATTGCCCTTTGTCGCATTGTCTCTTCAACTACATATAACCCATCTTTTTGTTTGGCTCATTCTTTGGTCAACAGGTAAAATAACTGTCACATAATTTACCAGATTGCCAACTAGATAACATATCGAGACTCCGCTGGTACCAATCAGGGTGCCTCTGGATATATTTAGACAAAGTATGCCCTTCATCTAATGCTCCCGTGCTTCAGTTAATATCTTGCACTTGCGGTGGAGAGATCTCCCATATTTGCTGGTCAACAATCTCATTGCACAATATATCTTTCTCAATGCCCTTTGATCCATGTGTCCAGGGTTGACATCCAGTCTGTTCTTGACAGACGCTTCCTTCTACTTGTCCGTGTTCTGTGTGTGGCAGAATGTGCTGTTTGGATTGTCCATTCCCCAGATTTTCTCATTGAACCCTGCTATCAGACTATTCCTGGTATTTTTCGGCATCAATGATTTCCTTCTCCTCGTTATGGTTCCTAAACTGTACACATTGTCCATCGGTTTTATAGCACTTTCAGTCCATCTTAATTTTCTCTTTATCAGGCCATCGATGAATTCCTTACACCTGAAGTCCCAGTTGGGATCCCACTCCTCTTTCAGCGTGCCTTCAGGAGTGTCTATGTCAATAAGTACTCCGCCTGGTTTACATACATAGGTGGCGTGCTGTTAATTGTGCCTTTGCACAGCTTTTGCTTGCTTGTCTTTTGCAGAACATCTCCCAACAACACGTAATGCGCTAGACATGTTTGCGAGTCTGCGAACTAGATAAAATGGTATCCCTGCTCTACATAGTCACCTAAAGCACCAGGCTCCACTAGAACCTTACCTCTGTCGACACATTTTTTCTGTATACTCTTTAGCACGTGGCTTCTTAACCTCACTTTCCTTTTAGTTATTTCACGTTTACATACAATGCTCTGGGCCCATAACCTATTAGAGTTTTATGGGGATAATCCAAATAACCTACACACTGAGCACTTTCTTTATTGTATATTTAATATGATGCGTTAGATGTCTCTAGATTACAAACTATGTCGCAGAACGTTTCTTTATACAGAGCACCGGTACGCACAGAACAACGTGGACTCACCGAATAACCGTGCTGACAAAACTATATACGAAAACTCAATGTCTTTTATTTGTAGAGTGGGTAATTAGCCGATCTTCATTATCAACAGAGTCGTTTTATTACCCATGTACAATCTTATTTGACATTTTCTTCGTGATTGGGAAATATTGTTTGGGCTGCTTGATGTTCTTTGTTGTAGGTTTTCCTTACTTTCAAGAAATTCGTGATACTTTGTGACTAGGTCATCTGCTAAAGGGAAACGCTGTCTTGATATCTTTATCCCAGTTGTTTCCCGATAGGGTATCCATGCACTGTTTCCGGCTAAATCCAGGATATTGAAAAATACAGTGCTGGACGAAAGTATTGGCACAGCATGATTGTTATGATACAAATGTTTATAACTACTAAACAAATTGATTTAAACAAAAAACTTGTTGACGTATTCATTTATTATCTATCCTAGTTTATTACATAACAAGAGCAACAATATAAATAAAATAATACACAAAATAATAGCAAAAATATATTTATTGAGCATTTTATGGGTGGTTAAAAGTATTGGCACAGTAGAATATTTACGCTAATAACTAATTACATAATAAAGTTCTAATATTTTGTTGGCAATCCTTTCCTTTTAAGGACTTCCTGTAATCTTCTGGGCATCGAGTGGACTAATTTTTTAGTGAATTCAGGCACAATATTGCTCCATTCCTGCAGAAGAACTTTCTTCAGTTCAGACTTGCTTGTGATATTATGTTTCCTAATTCTTTTTTCCAATTCGTTCCACACGTGCTCAATGGGATTCATATTCGGACTTTGAGGTGGTGTGTTTAATGTGTGGGCAGTGTTATATATTATCCACTGACGAACAATATACGTCATATGTTTAGGATCTCGATCCTGTTGAAAATAAAAATCCCTGGGGAGGTTCCATTTTTGAGCATTTTTCAAAAGATTTTGTTTGAGTATATTTAAATATACATATTTATCCATTGTCTCATCAATGAATATAAGTTCTCCTACACCCGATGGTGCCATACACCCCCACACCATTAAACCACCACCCCCATGTTTCACGGTGGCTTGCAGATTCAGTTCGTCCATCTCCGTGTTGGGTTTTCGCCATACTAATATTCTGCCGTCATATTTAAAAATATTAAACTTACTTTCATCTGAAAACATGATTTTGTTCCAAAAATCAGTATCTTTCGTAACAAACTCTTTCGCGAACTCTGTTATTTTCTTTTGGTTTATCTTACTGATGTAGGGCTTTCTTCGTGCTATACGGGCACAATAACCGGCATCCTTCAATACCCTACGTACAGTTTTGGTACTTACTTCTTTTTCACATTCAGCTTTTAACATCGAGGCAATTTCAGTCGAATTAGTTTTTGGATCCTTCTTTACAATATTTATAATTTTCCTTTTTTCTCGAATTGTTACCTTAGAAGGGCGACCACTCCTAATTTGATTCTCTAGATGTTCTTCACTTTTAAAGCGTTTTATGACTGAACGCACAGTAAAACGACTTTTGTTTATGATTTATGCAATTTCGTTGTAAGATTTATTCATCTTGTATAAATTTAATATTATTTTTCTTTCTTCAATTGTGGTTTCTTTCATTTTTCTAGACATTATTACTCTTTCTTGGTTTTTTGCTGTTTAATAACTGAAGTCTCCGGTTTCATTGATCGAGTGTTATAACAAAAGACTAACGGGGGATTCCCCTTCGCTATTTCCAAATGACGATCGGAAATCGTTGAAAACGGCGACGATACATTGTTTATATATGTGCTGTGCCAATACTTTTGTCCACCCATAAAATGTTCAAAAAATATATCTTCGCTATTATTTTGTGTATTATTTTATTTATATTGTTACTTTTGTCGTGTAATAAACTAGGATAGATAATAAATAAATATGTCAAAAAGTTTTTTGTTTAAATCAATTTGTTTAATAGTTATAAGCATTTGTATCATAAAAATCTTGCTGTGCCAATACTTTTGTCCAGCACTGTATATGCACAGGCCTATTCTATTATCTATTGGATTTGGATTTGACGCTGTATTTTCGCGTCATTTGGTGAACCACATCGACGCCAAATTTAGTCTTATTATAATAACTAATTGTTTCAGGTGTTCGCTTTCTATTATTTTTGGTTTTGACAAAATTTGGAGAGAATTTTTCTTGGTAAAAAATAAGCTAAGAGAAAAACAGAAAGCGAGAAATTGAATATTAGATAATATAAGAATTTACAGAAAGTCAGATTAGCGAAAGAAATGACAGTGAATGTACGATTTTAAAATAAATTTTGAAAGGGGGTCATTTGAGCCCGCTTGATACGTTTAGTGTTAATACTTTGTATAGCCTCCTTCTGTTTTTATTATTGCTTTAATATGCCTTGGCATGCTGTCTACGAGATTTCTGCATTGTTCCCTTTAAATATTCTGCCATGATAGCACGACGTTTGCCCATAGTTGAAAACTACTTCTTGAACCAGGTTCAAAATTAGCTACAAATCTTTTAAGTAAACCCCTTAGACGTTCTGTGTGATTCAGGTCGGGAGATTGCGGAGGCTAATTAAGAACTTGATACTTTCACTTGAATGGTCACTAATATAGTATAGGTTTGCTCCATTTTTCTAAGCTTCTTAATAAACTATTTTCTAAAATTTTTATGTATGACTTAGCTAGTCATTGTCCCTTCAATTTTTTTTTTCAACTAACATCTTCACTATGATGACTTCATGTGTCTGTGATGACTTCAGTTCGGATAATCCAAGGCCACTTCGCCGGTGGATCCAACCAAATGTAACAATCTGATCAAGGTTTTCTCGATCTGATCGTTTGAATATTGGAAACGTGTTTCTTCGGCTGATGCCAAATCGAGCTTAGCTCGCAACACGAGTCCGGGGTCGTTGCAGAAAAGAACAATAAGGATACTGTCCAAAGTCGAAGGGCCTTTATATTTTAGGCTCTCTGTTGGGTCAATACTACGATTCAAGTCGGCGGTATCTACACACTCAGAGGGTTTTTCGACGCAGAGAGTTAATTCTGATTCTCTCAAATAACGCATAAGGTATTCGCGCTGTAGCATCAACTCTACAAGCATGCGTTTCTCCGGTGACTTATATCGTTTCAGATTAGCAAACATCAATGCGTAGTGACTTTTCACGTCTTCTCTCCACGCATGCAATTCCTTACCCAACTGTCGACAGATGTTTTTGGCGCAACTTTCCAAATTTGCGACCTCACGTGTCAGTTTTCTTGACCACCTCCAAATTTGACAGTCGGATGAAGGTGGTGTGACTTTTGCCCAGGACTTCTCCATGTCCATTCTTGACCCTCCGATCTGAAATAATCAATTTTAGTTTCATCAGACCATATTACTTTGCTCCAATCAGCTTCCGTAAAATTTTCGTATTTTCTGGTAAATTCCAGTCTGAGTTTCCTATGACGCTTAGTGAGCAACAGTTTCTTAATTTTCATACGCCTATGCATCCGTATTGTTTTGGCACTAACATTAATATTGCAATGCGTATGTAAGTGCTGTTTCATTTTTACAGCATTATAAATATTACCATTACGTATTTTTCGAATTATTAATCGCTTTGTAGTAGAAGTCAACTTTTTTTAGGAACACTTTTATTTTTTATTAAAATTTTTTTGAAATGTTGATTGCAATAATTTTCCAATTTCTACTGTTTTGGCTTTATCTAGTCGTTTCATGGCTACATATAATAAAATATGCTTTTGAAACACTTTAAGTATATTTTAATATATTCAGAAACGTAAATAGTATTTACTTGTATTTTTATATATGGTAGAGTTGACAAATATTGATCACAATTAGAGATTTATTAATACTAATTTAAAATTCACAAAACTGATTAAATGTAATATTGCTCTTACTTTTCAAATAATGTATGCTTAGATCTACTGAGATGTACAAAAAACTGACGAAAACTAAAAATTCAGTGCCCAAGCTACCAAATAGCAGATAACTCGGTGTAAACAAATGGTCAGGGTCGCTGCATTTTGTTATTGTTTTGAATATTTTAAACACTTGATGAGTTATGTGAGTCACTGTATATGTCACATGATTTATGGATATTTGAAGTTTTAATATTTATAAAAATAATAGCATAAAAATCAATTATTATTTTAGTCTTAATATGCCCGCTTTTTTATGACGTAAAAAAATATGTAGCATTCCATTTAAAAAAATGAAGGTGACCTTTATTTCTAGAAAAATATTAAAAATACAAAAAATTTAGATACTCTATCATATTGCTAGTAAAATATACTACAACTTTCTTCTTTTCGGTTTTTTTTCTAATGTTTACCGTTTATGAAGAAACTGATGGTACAAATTATCGCGATATATAAGTTAGGAACAAAAATATTGGTACAACTGACTCTTCATTATAGAAACGCATATAAATCAAAGAAAAAACACAGGATTAGATTAATTCTTTTCATGAACTATAACTATTAGGTTTATAGTTTGACAATATTACAAATATATTTATACTAATTTATTACAAAACAAAAAAGAATAATAAAATGCACATTGACAGCAGTTTTTAATGGAACAAAAGTATTAGTACGCTTACAAATAGATAGTATATTATTATGTTTTTTATATAATTTAATATTTTGCGTGTAATCCCTTATTGTTTATAACGGTTTTCAAATTGTCTGGCATGGAATGCACTAGTTTTTTTTTGTAATTTCGGAGCTTATTTTATTCCATTCCATCATCAATATTTTTTACAATCGTTGTCCGTTGATGATATAACGTTTTTTAATAGATTTTCCCCAATGAGCCCAGAGATGTTCGATCGGGTTTAAATCTGGGGATTGCGGTGGGGTTGATAAGGAATGTAGGGTATTAAAAGCTGTTAAATTAAATATTTATTGTATATAATTTATAACATAAAGAAATTACAATGTAAACAGAATCACTGTGCTTTATCGTGCCTCTTTATGCTTAAAAGACTTACAAAATGTGAAACCATAAAAATGCGCAGTTTTAACGAGCACACTAATACTTTCTGTTG